CTTTATTGAACAGACTGTACCTATATAACGGGACCATGTCTACAGATATCTATTCCTGTATGGTTTAGGCTGGATTACTGGTGGTAGGTACAAACTTTTTTTTGAAAGTAATGATATTTAGTCATCACCAGTGGTGATATTAATTGTGTTGATAAACTGAAACATGTGAACATGGAGAGACAGGTGAATATTGTTCTTATTTTTTTTTGGTCAATGAAAATAGTTTACAATGGTATAACTGCATTATACCATCCACAAATTTTTTACTTGGATTTCTAGCGTGTAAGATGATTGTGAATGTTACTAATTGACCCTAAAACACTATGAAAATGAACAGGAACAGGAATGTGACCCTGAAAGGTTGTCTGACTGTCATCACAAATCCTCAGGAAGGTAAACCAGATTTCTGAAATTAAGCAGAAAAATGTCAGTAAGTTTTCATGTTTGGGATTTTATATGAATCTGTATTAGTTAGAATAGTGATAAGCCTAGTGTGTATTGCAAATCTGAAACTCAATACCCATTACATGTATAGGGTTAATGTATAGTGTAGAAACAGTACTGAAAATGATGGGCAGTCAGCACATGAAATAGAAAATACGGCAAAATTTTCTAATAAATTAAAAATATTTGAAAGCTTCTAGCAGATAACTGATTCTTGTTATCTTTACTTCTTTAGTTGATCAAATATCTGTATGTTAGAATGATTGATCCAGTAATAGATTATACAGAATATTCTGTGTTTGTTCAGGTGCTTGTTTCTGTATCTCGTTACCAGGGATAAACTAGGTAATTGTATTATCATTTTGAAGTTTAAGATTTATCTTCCTAGAAATAGTTATCATCTGCCAAAAGGTTTTGGTTAGAAGCTTTGTAATCTTGTGTTACTAGTATAAGAGCTACAGAATACTGCCTTGACAATTAGAGGGTATTCTGCTGTATCCATAGCTGACAGTTAATGACCTACAGTTATCACCTCTTAAAATCAATACAACTGGCAAATTTTGAAAATTAGGCGATAGAAGTTTGACATGTTATTGAACATCGGAAGCCTAATAGGTTACTTCAAGTACTAAAGGTCAAATGAAGGGCAAATGTCTTGTTTGTGAGACGTTACCATCTAATCAATATATATTATGTTACAGTTTGTTATTAGGAAGTTGAAAGACATTGTGCTAATTCTTAGTAATATTTCTTACAAAAATTTTCAATATTTTTAAGTAAAGTTGTGATTGCACTTTAATTATGCTTTGATAAGACTAGAAGGTCAGAAAAAACTTGAAGTAAGCGAGGGCTTCATACGAGATAAATTGTTGACATTTCTACTGAAATATATCATCATGTGATCAATACTTAGTAAGTGACGGTTTCTTTTTCTTATAAAACAAAAATTTATATTAGTACATGGGTGGGCTTATTACCAGACACAGACTTTTTGTTGAATTAAAACACTTATTTGATTGGAATTACTTTCTTAGCCAAATGAAATGAAAATAACTCTTTATTATTCAAAACTCATTTCTTAGTTTCAGAGACTTAATATAAGGCTTAAGTATTCTGACATTTGACGGAAGTCATTGAAATATCAGATAATTTTTGTACCTCTGGGAACATTGACAGTTGTGTTGCCTTTTATTCTAAATTCAGCATTATAAAAAGACCAGTAGGACAATCGATTTAATTATTAGTTTAACAAGTACAAATCTGTAAAATAACTGACAATTTTTGTTCAAATTGAAAACGATGATGATAATTATCATGGTCAAGTATGGCAATTTTATGCTGTAATTGAGACGAATAACGAGACAGGAAAAATACCAAGATCTTGCAAGTTGATGACATATTGCTTTTTTATCAGCGGCATGCTTTGATTTATAACATCGTACTTTAAGAATCTTGTTTTCTACATAGTTATTTGTTCTTTCTAGGAAAATCTTTATTAACATGCTAGGTTGTATTCCCCATGTAAGGAATGTCATTACGTGTGTCGTGCAGTGAAAGGGTACACACAGTACACATGTACTGTACATGCCATGTACTAATTATACCAAATATGGGGATATTCCTGGAAAATCATGTCTTATGATATTAAGGTCATGATGTTTCCTTATATTCATTGCTGTAAATATTGATCATAGCTTTAACTTACAAATAGAGTTCTATTTTCTATTTAAAGCTGCTTACAAAGTTAAAAGCAAATATTATTTAGACAGATTGTGTTTCGTTTTGTGATCCTGGGCCAGATTCCATTTTGAAAGCGTTGTGGATTCTGAAGTGAATTAAGATACATAAGAAAGATTAATTTTGATTTATTTTTATCTGACATCATCCTTGTTTTCAATTTTTTTGACCTCGATACCTGAATTAGATTGCTCTTTCTTATGAACACTTTCTCAAGACTTCAGCATCATTGATACTTGCTTGGTCCCCCACAAGGGCTAGTGTCTCCTTCAGCTTTGTCTCCCACAAGGGCAAGTGTCTCCTTCAGCTTTGTCTCCCACAAGGGCAAGTGTCTCCTTCAGCTTTGTCTCCCACAAGGGCTAGTGTCTCCTTCAGCTTAGTCTCCCACAAGGGCTGGTGTTTCCCTTATCGTTTGTCTCTCACAAGGGCTGTTTTCTCATTTGGCTTGATTTCCCACAAGGGCTTGTGTCTCATTTAGCTTTGTCCCCAAGAAGAGCCTGTGTCTCATCTGCATGGTCTCCCAAAAGCATTCATTTCTCCTCTGCTTGGTCTGTTACAAGGTCTGGGGTCTCCTGTGCTTAGTCCCTCACAAAAGTGTGTGTCTTTTGCTTGGTCTGTTATAAGGTTTTGTGTCTCCTATGCTTAGTCCCTCACAAAAGTAGGTGTCTCCCATTGCTTCATCTCTCACCATGTCTTTTGTCTCATTTTGTTTGGATTCCCAAAAGCATTTATTACTCTTTTGCGTGGTCTCCCAAGAGGGCTGGTGTCATATTTTGTGTCTACTTTGCTTGATGTCTTATAAGATTTTGTGTTTTCATTTGCTAAGTTCAAGTTTAGTTTGCTTATTATGAGATAAATCAAAAGCAATTTCCTATAAATAATATGTAATGGGATAAGTCTTTAAGGAAAAATTGAGATGTATGATATTTCAATAGTTTTCCAGAACTCACAAAAAATTATTCCCCATTCCCCATTTGATTTTGTCAATGATATTGGTGTTACTGCTTACATAAGAATTTTCAGACAGACGAGGTTGTTAATCATAATCTTGAGACATTTTAATTGGAATGAAAAATGAATTTCACGTCTGTAATGTGTTTAAATCATTGTGAGTTGATACAGATATAAAACCACAAATACAAGCCCTAAACACATAAAAATCGATCTCCGGGTAATAAAATGCTGATTATATCACATTTCTGTGGAATGTGATGCGATTGCTGGTACGTTTTTACAGCATTATGACGTAACATTTAGGAGGGTTATTTTAGTCATCCATTGTTTATTGATATTTATAGAACTACTCATCTACCAGTATCAACTTGTGTGTTGTGGAAGAAAACTTCTGTTTCTGTCGTAGTTACTGCAATTAAATTTAATAATCTTGTGTTAAAGTGATGTATGTTCATGTCTCTGCCATTTTATGGTTAAATACTCATATCCTCCAGTGTCGTGTCTCATCATGTTCATTATGTAAAAATATCCTATTTTGCCAACCTCCAAAGAGATTTGGTCCATGTTTAATGCATAATATCATAATCTACACCTTAACAAAGTAAGGTAGTCATCGGTTACAGCTAAAGGGTCAAAGGTCACAATTGTCAACTAGTTCAACTCCATCAAACAAGGATACTTATATAGGCATGAGAGCAGGAGCATTTATGTCTAACAGATATGTTCTTGTTTTTGTTAAAAAGCTCTACAGCGTATTTCAACAGCCATTGGAAACCCGATTTTGGTCAGCTGGCTGAGGCAGGATGTCAGAACACAGATTTTATATAATGGCTATTACTCATAAGGTTGGGCCAGGAAAGTTTTATTGAGAGGCAGTAAAGCCTCATCATTGCCCACTTCACCACAAGTTCCTGTCTTTATTTTGTCTGAACAAAGGTGCTGTAAGCATATACACATACTTTGTATGTTTGTCACATGGTCAGTTAAATAATAGATTTTCATCTGTTTCAGGCTCTATGTTACATATAGTACTAATTAATTTCCCCCACAAATAATTGAATTTCATAAATTGACATATCAAAATCCAAAAGTCATCATTTCACTATGATTTGTTAAGTCCAAATGATTTGTTATTGAAGTAAACATCATATTACACTGATGTACTGAAAATTATCACCCATCAATATGTTTAAATAAAAAAGATCAAATACAATCTTCTTCTGAAAGAAAAAGACTAAATAGGCAAAACATTTGATATAAAATTGCCTTTTTACAATGTAACTTATTTGGTTAGCATTAAATCGATAAATAAATAGGTTTATTTGAAAATTATATATTTATGAAAACCTTGCCATTTAGTGTTAAGATTAATTAACATTATAATAATTATTTTTAATTGATATTTAGTGTATAACTTAATATACTCGCATGCAAAGGTTTGGTGAGACACCTCCAAGCATACATGTGGATGCTGTGACATGCTGCCAGAGCTAGCTGCATGCACATGGAGAATAAGTCATTTTGTTGTATTTGAAAGATCAATATTTCTCCATTATTGATCAGGATTCTTCCTTTCTCAGCCGGCTACTGTGCCGAGTCTGAACTCGGTTTGTTTTGTAGTGGGATGTCTAATATTAAAATGGGATTTCCCCCCACCATCTGTTTACAGAACTAGCCTGCTAACCCTGTGGGGAATGACATTGGATTGATCCAGTTTTACTTCCGTTCTGTTACGCTATCCTGATACTGCAGCTGCCCTCGTGCAAACAGCACTAATATTCATGAGCAGGGGAGAGACAGAAAAAAGCATCAATAAATATTAATGTCTAAAAATATGTTTTACTCAAAATCCACCCCCTCCCTGGTAAATGGATTGGTCCACTTGAATGGCTGCTGCTATAGCTGCTGCAGGGAGGCTGAGACATGAAGGGACATACCTAGTTGTGGTGTTAGGGATGTGACAGACTTGACCGTGTCTCTGTGTGACCCTTGGATTTTAACTGTGTCCTCACTGGTCCTTAGTTGTCCAGTTTTAATTGATTTTTTCTCCTGGACAGTCATATTTGTTTTTGTTTGTAGTGAAATCTTGTGTTTGTTTTGATGGAGATCTTTGTTGATATTTTATGTTGATAGAAGAACGTCCTCCACTCACATTTTTGTGTGTTTCTTGTTTCCTTCTGGCTTAAAACACTCTGGAGTAATACCAAAGTGACTTCTTATCTGGTAAGTATTTCAGATTAAGTATGTCAAATAATGTTATTTGAAATGAAAAAAATTTCATCTACATGTATTTATGTTAATTAAAAATCCAGGCTTTTGAAGTAATATTTATCATGTGTGGTTAATTAGTGGCTGTAATGATTTTATAATGTAACATCATGTTTTTGGTTTATCAATCATTTTCAGGGAGCTTAATTTCATCTGTATAACAGTATCAATTACACATGTGCATTTGATAATGTATAAACTGATGTAAAGCTGTTTACTTTAGCATTTTAACAAGAATATTTATTATGAATAAAATCATTTTAACACATGAATACAAGGGTAGAACAGGATTTCAAAGAGAATTGGTGTAGCAGACATAATGATATAGGACTTTCACTGAGTGCAAGGATTTGTACGTAATAGCGTTTTCCTTACACAGGAAGTTTCTAATAGAAATGAGATTGGCACACAATTGTATTTGTCTGTGTTACGCCTCGGAGACATCTTTACAGAGGCACTTGTGTGAACTCCTGTGGTTGGACAACTATTGTCTACAGATGGTGAAATAACTAAATGCTTTATCACTGGTTATGTGTAATTTGCTTATGTTGCATGGATTCAGTGGCCACAGATGGCTCAGTAATATGATTTTTCCTTTTTTCAATGGAAATTTTTTTTTGCCCAGATTTGAATTTAGTTACCTCCAACTTGAATTTAATACTTTTAACCAATAGTAAAAGTACCACATCACACTATTACATTATCTAGTCTGATCCACGATTAGCCAGATCAGCCCACAAAATCTTCTCTACTCACCTTGCCATTAACTCCATCCCCACTCAACCATCCAAATAATTTGGTTCTGCCTGTCATCATAATGGAGGTCAACATTTAAAGACCTTACTGCTGTAATTCTGGAGTGACCATCGCTCTGTCACAGAATGTCCTGTGTACTAGGAGTAGTTTAGAGAAATATATTGGGTGGTGGAGGATGATATGGAACCTCTCATGTTACCAGAACAGAGTGGAGATTTGGTTTCTTTGTGTGATATTCATATCTATCCAGTGTGATATGTCAAAAATTTGACTGAAAAAGCAACATTTGATGTCTCTTTAGCTAAACAGATGCAGGTGAAACCCGTCAGTTTTAGTATTGTATATAACCTAGGAAATTACAACACCGAAAAACAGACAGAAAGCTGAGGACTTTTTATTTCAGTATCCTCAAATTGTCAATCCCCAAGATAGATATTACATTAGTGTAAGGTGACTGCAGACTGTGATGATGTAAGTTTTAACCTGATTCTGGTACTACAGTCTCTCCCTCCATCAGTCCTAGCACGTCTCCAGGTTGAAGATTTCCCAGGAGAATTCTTACCAATATCTTATCACACTCCCAGATAATGTTCTCCAAAATAGCTATATCTATATGATATAAACTCACCAGATTGAACTTTCCACCATGGAAGACAGAAGAGGCTACCTGACTTAGAGCCATTCTCTGCTTCAGTTACATCACAACACTGTAATGGTATATATCTATTAACAGTGAGGTAGATGTTCATAAATGTTGATTTCACTTAAACACACAGTAGATGTAAACAAATGTTGATTGTACTTAAATGTACTGTGGATGTCTACTACACAGTTGATGTCATGAATGTTGTCCACACCTAAGTGTTCTGTAGATTTTAACTTTATACAGTAAATGTCCACAAACATTGATGGCACCTAACTTACTGTGTAAGTCTACAGATGTTTTTAGTACTTAAAAAAATTAAATGTTACATGAAATTAAATGTTTTGTGGTCTTAAACAGATGTCTAAACAAGACCAAGATTATTGAACAGAGATCTGATTTCAAGGATTATCATAAAGGATTAATATGTATAGTTCATAGTTAACTTTATGATAATATAACTGTGACAATTTATGGATATCTACCATAGTACCAGGTTAGTGAAAAGTAGTACTCATTATAAAGTATGGTGTTTAATTAGGACTCTGAACCATCAGCTCGTTAGGGTGTGAAATTTCCTAATGAAAAGTAAGACCCTTCCCTGTTAATGCTGAGTGGAAACAACCACATCAATTATGTAACTGTTGGTCCAGAAACAATGATTGGGTGATGTGATAGTACTGGATGGATCTGTCCATCAATTGGAGCTGTTTGAGGAATTGCAGTTGCATGTGACACCTGTCAAGTGACTTGATTAATGTCATTAAACACCTGTCATGTGACTTCTGTCATTTTGTCATTTGACGCCCGTCAGGTGACTTCTGTCATTATGTCATGTGATACCTGTCAGGTTACTTCTGTCATTAGTTGACCTGTCAACTGACTTCTATCATCATACAATATGACACCTGTCAGCTGACTGCCATGTTATATGGTGATACTTATCGCATGATTTCTGTCATGATATAGTGTGACACATGTGATATATGTCAAGTATATCTGTAATTCAATAAACAATAAACTGTCTGATGACATATTTTGCGACTTTGCTTTAATACTGAGGGTCAACAAATACATTTATTATCTGGACAGCAGTACACTGGATTTATGAATAAATACAAGATTTCTAAACTTTATTATTTGACCTTGACCTTGGATGACCTACATCTTTATGTACATTTGACCTTGACCCAAGAAAGTGGATATATATACATTTATTTGAAAACATACTAATGTATATATGACTCAACTCTGTGGACAGAAATTCTTCCAGGATGTGTGATCTTCAGAGCTAGAAAAATCTTTATGTATATATGACCTTGACCCAAGAAAAGCAACTTGTGCGTTTCTGACATTTTATGATTACATAATAGCAATAGTGTATAAAGAAATATGTCTACATGATAAGCTGTTCTGATGTACAGTTTTATTGAGATCAATACATTTTACATATCAATTAATGATAGAGGTTCTATGGCTGGAGTCAGTTTTCATGTCAACTTTCTTGCTGCTGATGATGTCAGATTCTGCTGTTGTGGAGATTTCGAGTTTTCATGTACCTACAACGAAAGGATTACCAAAAATAAATCATTGTGTAAAACAAGATGTCAGACTTTGTTAACTCAGAGTGGTCATTGAGCAGTGATAACATTATACTGGGACATGGAATGAATGTCATAACATCCCAATAGAAATTTATTCTTTGTAAATGTCATTTATCGATAAAATTTAGATCTTTGGGAAAGGCAGTACTTATTAAGTAGAATTTTACATTTGAATGAAAATATTTTTGCAGGGACAATATATATATAGAACTACATGGCATTAAACTGAGGGTCTTCTTATCTTGTCTGCTGAAAGGCCGAAGTTTAAATTCATCTTCTTAATCTGAGGGTTGTTGTGTCACCTGAGTTTAAGTAACAAAGTTTGACTGTATAACTTAATCTGTTGTATTTGACAATATATCTCATTGATTTTGGATTTGATACTAAGAGGAAGAATTATTCAAATTTGGGATTGCTAAAGCAATTTAGAGAAACAAAAGAAAGCATCGTTAGAGGCGCTGACATCAAAGAAAGGATGAGAAATGATAGAACGTGAATCAGTATTACACTGGAGATACAGTATGTGATCATTAAGGTTTTTATATACAGTATCAGTATTGTTCAATCCTGTTGTGGAAATAAAACCGTTTTACAGTATCACTTTGACCCCGACATTTGTCAACACTGTAGAACTGTTTTAGCTTGTGATCTTTTTTCATGGCAAGATCAAAAACAGGTTTTGTTTAAAGTCTGTACATATCTGGTGATGATTATTCCCGAGGTGGGCATTTTAACTGGTATAAATTATGGTCTTAATCACATCTCCCATGAAAGTAAAAGCTGAGCCCTTTGTGTTATCAGCTTCAGGTTTACTGTAACTGTATGTGAATTGCCTTCAGCTTGTTATGTATTTTTATCAAATATGGTATTCACCATTTGAATACATTACAGGTTTTATAGAATTAAATGCCTTAATCTCTGCACATAATACCAGAATCATGCATGTGGTTTATTTGTTATATATATTTATTGAAAAAATTTAGGCGTCTTACAACAAGATTTACAATAGGACAAGCTGTTGTACACAGGAAACATGTGGATCAGCTTATGTAAACATCTGTTGGGACTTAAAGACTAGACTATGAATGATACAATCTGATGTCATTATTAATCACATCACGTCAAATCTGGAATACATCTTTAATCTCCCAGATAACTGAAAATTTTGTTTTAAAACAATTACATATTATTGATGTTTTGTGGTTGTGTCCTCAGGCAAGACTCTTATTGCTATGGATGGCATGAAGTGGGCCTTCTGCATGTTGTTCAGTGACGTAGCCACCAACTCCTATAAAAGGAATCTGCCTTAAAATGACTCAGGCTGTTTAAAGTGCAATAAACCCTGTAACAAACAAACAAATGTCTTACAATCTTACAATTAGAGTTTAGCCATTGATTTCAATGTAGGATGTGAGGACTCAGTCAGTAGGGTGTTAGCCTTCTCTCAGGTGATGATTTAAGGTTGTGTTTAACACTCTGTACCTGTGACAGTGGACCAGTGCCTCTATACATACTGGTAGACTTATACATATAACTAGATGATAATAAATTACAGATATGTAAAATATTTAGACAACATTGATAGTGACAGGAATGATTCATATTTAAATAAAGTCTTCTATTTCATTTGTTGCCTCATTAGAAGGAAAGTGGAGCTATGTAAACTGAGATTTGAAGGTTTGTGTGCTGCCTGCCTGGATGCATTCTCATTTCAGGAATCTCACTTATCTTGCATTGGATCTTATGAGGAAATCAATTTCAAGTTGTTTGGTGTAAGGAATGGATTTCCTTCACTGTGACAATCCTTGTCCATTAAAAAGAGAATCTCTCAATCCTAGATTGTTTTGTGAGAAATTTTCATGATAATTTGTCTGCACTAGATCTGATGTTCACAGTTAGAAATACAAGCTAAATGCATTACTCTGATGGGGGAGAGGAAGCTTGGTAGCATTGTATGGTGGAGGGGAAGCCTGGTAACATTGTATGGGGGAGGGGAAGCCTGGTAACATTGTATGGGGGAGGAGATAGTCTGGTAGCATTGTATGGGGGAGGGGAAGCCTGGTAACATTGTATGGGAGAGGAGATAGTCTGGTAGCATTGTATGGGGGAGGGGAAGCCTGGTAACATTGTATGGGGGAGGGGAAGCCTGGTAGCATTGTATGGGGGAGGGGAAGCCTGGTAACATTGTATGGGGGAGGGGAAGCCTGGTAACATTGTATGAGGGAGAGGATAGCCTGGTAACATTGTATGAGGGAGGGGATAGCCTGGTAACATTGTATGTCCATTTTATACTGTGGGGTTCATCTGACAGGTGTTTTACCCTGTGTTTGGTCATACTTGTAATAAAAGTAAAGTGAAGAGGAATCGAGGAATGTCTTATCAAAAAATGGTTTGTCAATTAGTTATTTAAGATCAAAGTTTAAGGCACCAGGTGTAAAATTTCAATGTTAAGGTAGGTGCCTGGTCGTGATAAAAGTCAAGGGTTTTAATGTTAACTCCCATATAATGCAATATCGTTTAGATCTCTAGTAAGTTCTGTAATGCTACAAGTCTAAGGTCACATAGTTACAGGTTAAGGTCAGAGGGGTTTGGTCAAATTGTATGCATTCCTTCCCAGTAAGATATTTAGTCGTTAGAAAATTGGGATCATGACATTAAGTAAAGGTAAATGAGGGTTCTGTGATTTATTCCTGTGACATCCAATGTTTGGTGCCAAGAATCCTTTACACATAAGAAAATTATACACTGGTTTTCACTTAAACATGCAAAAATATGGTAGATCAATCTGTAGTTCTTTAAGGTTACAAAGAAAAGAAAATTTTACTAACAGGGAAAATACACATTCCTGTCAAATGCCCTGACCAGGATTCAAACCCAGGTCTCCAGGGTGATATTCGAAGGACTTTACTAACTGAGCCAGAGAAGCATACTTCATCAGCTGAGTAACAGAGACCATGTTTAACACTACATACAAGCCATGCCAACCTGGTCCTTTTACACCTTTAATAATCCTTCCTTGGTGATTGTCAAAACATTCCATGGTAGTCTTAGAAGTATAGGGTCATTTGTATAAGTCAAATCAAATAGACCAAGGGGATCTGCAGATCAAGGATAGTGGTATAAAGTTGGTGTGAGGGTTATTCCACAATGCACAAGCACCTTGATAAAACCTTACAGGGCACAAGCTATGGTGATTTGTAAAAATGTTCTACTAATGGAGGTCTGAGCTCCATTTACACAAGTGTCATGTTGTTGTGTGACCTCACATGTAAAACTCTATGCCATACATCTGGTGTGAATTAAAGGTCTTTGTCAGGATTTTCGACAGCAAAGACTCTGTCAGTTTATTGTTTAAATGTCTGCTAGAGCCAAGAGACATGTTGTTTAGAATGTCTTTGTCTCTAAATGGAATTTTTTGTGTAACTTTATCAGTTTGTCTGTGTGGCAAGGGTACCCAATTCTGAACTCGTCAGGTTTGTGAAAATAACTCGCTAAACATGCATTTACACGTGATAAGAATTCTAGGTTTTGATTTCTGCACCTCTGCTAGAAATTCTACGTGTGGACAGTTCATTGTGATTGCAAACATTTTCCCAGTCGTGGTCTTGGAGCCGTTTTAAGTGGAAAGTCTATGAAGACATCAGCATCCTATTTCTCAAGAAGGATTTGTTTCAGGATGTCCCTTGTAAACCTAGTGTAGACCTTAGAGTTGGCTTCTGTACACAATCCTGTTAGTGTAGACCTGAGAGTTGGTTTCTGTACACAATCGTGTTAGTGTAGACCTGAGAGTTGGTTTCTGTACACAATCGTGTTAGTGTAGACCTGAGAGTTGGTTTCTGTACACAATCATGTTAGTGTAGACCTTAGAGTTGGTTTCTGTACACAATCCTGTAACGTAGACCTGAGAGTTGGTTTCTGTACACAGTCATATTAGCAAAGACCTGAGTGTTGGTTTCTGTGTACAATCATGTTAGCATAGACCTGAGAGTTGGTTTCTGTACACAATCCTGTTAGGGTCTGTGATATTAGGATAAATAACAATTATATTATTAAGTATTGGTAGCTTTGATTCTGCTACTGTAGATAAAAGTGTCAACCTTATACCAAACTATTGTCAAGTATTTCAACTCTATTTCTGTGTTTCAAACATTATCTAGGATATCATTATTTCAGTATCCACACTAGCTCATGTTAGTCTTCTTATGTATAGGATGGGTAAATGAATGATACCAAAAGTGTGTGGCAAATAAGGCATTAATCTTGATATCAGTGTGGCAGATTGGATTTGTAATGATTTGCTGATACAGCCAAGACATCTGTACCTAATTATGTAAACTTCCAGTTCCATCAACTTAATGTATTGAAATTAAGAGGCCTACGTAGGTTATTGATTTTGGGCTGCTTTAAGTATTTTTAATTTGCAGACAAGATTAAAAAAACACACCTTACATTCACTTGGAATTAAAACAGGAACCTTGGAAATTAATTACATGTCTATTGGCCTTAGTAGTGCTCTGTTAGAGAAAACCGTCCAACACTGACTGGCTCATAAAATATGCTATAAAAATGTATATTTCATGTGTTTGTGTTCAACTCATGCTTCTTATTAAGCCCACCCCTGGTTATATAAAAGAGCTGTATCTCGATAGAGGTGTGATACGCAAGTTTGGCTAGAGAGACGAACATTATTTAATCAACTAATGAGTGGAACCAGGTATTTGTTCATCAGTTTCATCCAATATTTCCAGACAGTATATATATTTCTAACTGTTCCCAGGAATAGGTGTTTACACATACACAAGAATATTTTATCAACATACTGGAAAAAAATATGTTTTAAACTTTAAATTTAAAGAGATTGGGTGTTACAGACATGTGGTGTTCATTAGTGTGTGAACTGCAGTCAGAAACATCCTCCTTTTGGTGAACATGCTGTCGAGGCTGTAATTAGCCCTGCAGTAATGTGACAACTGTTATCTTGAGAGGTGTAGTATTGTAAAGTACAACTGCTTCCTGATTCTGGTATCAAATTTGTAAATTTTAGCAAATAAATTTAGGAATGTAATCTTTGGTTGACTGGAATGTTAGTGGCCATTCCCAGTGTAATATAAACATGAGTTAAAATTTAAAGCCTTCTTTGGCTTCACACTTTAGTCATCACTTTGATAATGAACATAGTCCATTAAGTATTCAATACAAGCTAAAGTCTTTATAGGAAACATGTGCTGAGATGTCCTGGCTTATATTTGATATAAATATAAAATAGTTTCCATGACAATAGCATTAATGAGGTTATTGAACTGTTTTGAGTTTTACACTAATGTTGATTCTGCTGATGGTTATGTAACGTTTCATGACTCCATCACAGGTGACACAAAAAGGATGTGTTTTTTCATGCATTTCTTGCAGTAAGAAGGCTTGTAGATGAATTATGATTGAAAAGCAGCAATACTCTGGCTGATTTTGTATTTAGGGAAAACAATTTTCAGCCAGACAGAAAATATGTTACTTAGTGAAACTGAAACAAATCCTTGAATACCTTCAATAGTTAAGTGGACAACACAAAGGGTTGTTCTGTATGAACATTTAAGATAAGTGCTTTTATTTCCTGGTCTCTGTGAAGTACGGATGTATCTGATGCAAATTGTAAAAGTATATTGTTAGTAATTATTATAGTACTAATCTAGACAATTTCAAATGTAATTTTAGTTACCTGTAACCTTAATTCAACAAGTGCTGGGCTAATTGTCCAGTTATCTTACTGATATATCTGAGAACATTATACAATTGTCCAGCTATCTGACTGATATATCTGAGAACATTGTACAATTGTCCAGCTATCTGACTGATATATCTGAGAACATTATACAATTGTCCAGCTATCTTACTGATATATCTGAGAACATTATACAATTGTCCAGCTATCTGACTGATATATCTGAGAACATTGTACAATTGTCCAGCTATCTTACTGATATATCTGAGAACATGATACAATTGTCCAGCTATCTTACTGATATATCTGAGAACATTGTACAATTGTCCAGCTATCTTACTGATATATCTGAGAACATTATACAATTGTCCAGCTATCTGACTGATATATCTGAGAACATTGTACAATTGTCCAGCTATCTTACTGATATATCTGAGAACATTATACAATTGTCCAGCTATCTTACTGATATATCTGAGAACATTATACAATTGTCCAGCTATCTTACTGATATATCTGAGAACATTGTACAATTGTCCAGCTATCTTACTGATATATCTGAGAACATTGTACAATTGTCCAGCTATCTTACTG